CAAGAGCACCCCAAACCCAGTAGAAGAAGAGAAATAATACAAATCAGGGCAGAAATAAACAATATAGAAACAAACAAACAAACAAACAAAAACAGTTGAACAGATCAATGAAATCAGTAGTTAGTTTTTTGAGAAAATAAACAAAGTTGACAAACCTCTAGCCAGGCTTCTCAAAAAGAAAAGAGAGAGCACTCAAATATGCAAAATCATGAATGAAAATGGACTTATTACAAGAAACCCCTCAGAAATACAAGCAATTCTCAGGGAATACTATGAAAAACTATATGCCAACAAACTGGACAACTTAGAAGAAATGGACAAATTCCTAAACACACTCACTTCCAAAATTCACACAGGAAGAGATAGAAAGCCTGTACAGACCCATAACAAGTGAGGAAATCTAATCAGTTATCAAAATCTCCCAACAAATAAGAGCCTTGGACCAGATGGCTTCCCTGGAGAATTCTACCAGACATTTCAAACAGAATTAATACCCATTCTTCTCAAGTTATTCCAAAAAATAGAAATGGAAGGAAAACTTCCGGACTCATTTTGTGAAGCCAGCATCACTGATTCCCAAGCCAGACAGAGACCCAGCCAAAAAGAAGAACTAAAGGCCAATATCCTTGATGAATACAAATGCAAAAATCCTTAACAAGATACTTGCAAACCGAATCCAATAGCACATAAAAAGAATTATCCACCAAGATCAAGTGGGATTCATTCCTGGGTTACAGGGCTGGTTCAACATTCGCAAATCAATCAATGTGATACATCACATCAACAAAAGAAAAGATAAAAACCATATGATCCTGTCAATAGATGCAGGTAAAGCATTTGACAAAATACAGCATCCCTTCTTAATAAAGACCCTCGAGGGGCGCCTGGGTGGCTTAGTCGGTTGAGCGTCTCACATTCGCTTAGGTCATGATCTCGCGGTTCGTGGGTTTGAGCCCCGCGTCGGGCTCTGTGCTGACTGCCAGCTCAGAGCCTGGAGCCTGTTTCAGTCTGTGACTCCCTCTCTCTCTGACCCTCCCCTGCTCGTGCTGTCTCTCTCTCTCTCTCTCCTAGAAATAAAACATTTGGAAAAAAAAATACCCTCGAGAAAGTCGGGATAGAAGGAACTTATTTAAACATCATAAAAGCCATATATGAGAAGCCCTCAGCTAACATCATCCTCAACGGGGAAAAACTGAGAGCTTTGCCCCTGAGATCAGGAACATGACAGGGATGTCCTCTGTCACCACTGTTGTTTAACATAGTGCTGGAAGTCCTAGCATCAGCCATCAGACAACAAAAGGAAATAAAAGGCATCAGAATTGGCAAAGAAGAAGTCAAACTTTCACTGTTTGCAGAGGACATGATACCCTACATAGAAAACCCGACAGACTCTACGAGAGCCTACTAGAACTGATCCAAGAATTCAGCAAAGTTGCAGGTTACAAAATAAATGTAGAGAAATTGGTTGCATTTTTATACACCAAAAATGAAGCAAGAGGAAGAGAAATCAAGAAACTGATCCCATTCACAATTGCACAAAAAACCATAAAATACCTAGGAATAAACCTAACCAAGGATATAAGAGATCTGTATGATGAAACTATAGAAAACTTATGAAGGAAATTGAAGAAGACACAAAGAAATGGAAAAACATTCCATTCTCATGGATTGGAAGAATAAATGTAGTTAAAATGTCATTACTACCCAGTCAGAGTGGCTAAAATGAGCAAATCAGAGAAGTCTAGATGCTGGCAAGGATGTGGAGAAACGGGCACCCTCCTACACTGTTGGTGGGAATGCAAACTGGTGCAGCCCCTCTGGAAAACAGTGTGGAGGTTCCTCAAAAACTTAACAATAGAACTCCACTATGACCCAGCAATAGCACTGCTAGGAATTTACCCAAGGGATACAGAAATGCTGATGCATAGGAGCACATGTACCCTAATGTTCATAGCAGCACTCTCAACAATAGGTAAAACATATAAAGAGCCTTAAGTGTCCAACAACAGACGAATGGATCAAGAAGATGTGGTTTATCTATACAATGGAGTACTACATGGCAATGAGAAACATTGAAATCTGGCCATGTGTAGCAACATGGATGGACCTTGAGGGTGTTATGCTGAGCGAAATAAGTCAGGCAGAGAAGGACAAATATCATATGTTTGCACGTATAGGAGGATTAGGAGGAACTTAACGGAGGACCGTGGGGGAGAAGAAGGTGGGAATAGGGGCGGAGAGGGAGGGAAGCAAACCATGAGAGACTCTTGAATGCGGAGAAACAAACTGAAGTCTGATGGATATGGGGGGGAGGGAAAGGGGGTGATGGGCATGGAGGAAGGAACTTGTGGGACTGAGCACTGGGTTAAGTTATATGGAAACCAACTTGACAGTAAACTATTTTTTAAAAAATGATGTGATAATTGGAGGCGATAAGCAAGTGCTTTGCTACAGTATGTCCTGAGAGATAAGAGGGATGTAAAATTCAGAAAACCCTCTAATGAAGAAATGCAGTTAGTTATTAGAGAAAATCAAAAGCTCGTCTGAAGTTTGCTTAGAAACCTAATTGTTCTTTTTTTGAGCAACAAAATAAGCTTCTAAGGAAAACTCTACTGATTACTGTGTATTGTTAGGGAACAACTAAGGGGTTCGCATGGACAATTCTAATTTTGAGTACTGATCAGATAGTTCTTTGTGAGTGTGTATGACATGACCTTGTTGTAACTTCCACCTACTTTCCGCCACCCTGTCTTTCTCCTCTAGGTGATATCCCAGTTGTTCCACTGAATTTTGCCATGGTATCTCTGGACACCAATTTAGCAGGGATCTAGTGGAAAGTTGTGTGAAGGAGACACTGCATATTTTTTCACGATCCATTTACACCAAAAAAAGTGTGGGCTTTATTTTCAAAGGAATCGGTATCCTTACGATTAAAAGCACTAAAGTGAAGATGAAATTTCTTAAGGTCTTCGTTTTTACACTGCATGAAACTGGGGCTGTGGAAAAAGCCCTCACAAATGTAAATTAATATTTTCCTTCTCCACACCCCTCTTCTCAATCCAAGTTTTGAATTACCTATGTGTCATTATTAGGAAAAATTCAGATTGACGATATTATTGATTGGTTTTTAAAATGTTTAATTATTTTGAGAGAAAGCATGGGCGCACAAGTTAGAGGGGCAGAGAGAGAGAGGGTGAGAGAGAAAGCCAAGTAGGCTCCGCACTATCAGCATACAGCCTGATGTGGGACTCAATCTCATGAACAGTGAGATCATGACCTAAGTTGAAATCAAGAGTCAGACACTTAACCGACTGAGCCACGCAGGCGCCCCAGGTTGATGTATTTTAAATGGCACTTACTCCAAGGGCAAAAAGATGCTTGTGTATAGATGATTAACGCTTTAACAAAAAAGTTAGAAGGGCAGAGAAACTTGAAGTTTTGAGTCAATGCCAACTGAAAAATACAAATAATAACAGAAGCTCTCATAATTCTGAATACTTCATAGTGTTGAAAACTTCTTCCATATCTATTATTTCATTTGAGTTTGAAAACATTCTAAAAGTGGCAAATATATCTTTAAATTCAAAAATCAAATACCCAGTTTCTTTTCCTTTCCATTTCCTTCCGTTTCATTTCTTTTTTTCTTTTCCTATCCTTTCCTGTTTTGATTTGATGAGTGTATACATTATTCTATGTTCACCATAAATGTAGTTAGCATCTCTCATGTTACATTGCTAGTACAAGATCACTGACTGTATTCCTTATGCTGTGCCTTTTATTCCCATGACTTAACATTCCATATCTGGAAGCCTCTATCTCCCACTCCCCGTCACCCATTTTGCCTTGACACTCCATCCTCTGGCAACCGTCAATTTGTCCTTTGTATTTATAGAGCTGATTTTGCTTTTAGTTTATTCTTTTTTTTTTTTTTTTTTTTAGATTCCACTCATGAGTAGAGTCATATGGTATTTGTCTTTCTCAGTCTGACTTATTATGTAACTCGGAAGAAAACGCTTTGGGTCCATCCATGTCATCTCAAATGACACAATCTCATCATTTTTTATGGCAGTGTAATATTTCATGGTGTGTGTGTGTGTATGTTATATATATAAATTCCATATTTTTCTTATCCATTCGTCTACTGATGGATGCTTAGGTGGCATCCATATATTGGTTACTATAAATGATGCCGCATGAATATAAATTTCTTTGAATTAGGGTTTTCATTTTCTTTAGGTAAGTACCCAAAGGTGGAATTACTGGATCCTATGGGAGTTCTATTTAACCTTTTTGAGGAAGCTCCACTGGTGGCACCAGTTTGCATTCCCAACAACAGTGCATTGCATGAGGGTTCGTTTTTTTCCGCATCCCCACCAGCACCTGTTGTTTCTTGCCCTTTTGAATTTAGCCACTCTAACTGGTGTAGTGTGATATCTCTCTGTGGTTTTGAGTTGTATTTCTCTGATGATGAGTGACGTTACATTCTGTCACTTCCAAGCTGCATGACCTTGGCCATGTCACACACTTGGTCTTTGGGCCCTCTTTTCCTCTCATCAAAAGTAAGGATGATAGACCTGCCCTACCTTTCCTTACTGTGAGAATGTTATAAGAATATGTATGTGAGAACAGTTTTGGAAACCACAACGCTCTGAACAAATACGAACTGAGGTCTTTACTTGGTCATCTCTCTTGTTGAAGCTCTGGTCACAGACCCCCTTTCTGTAGGGGTCCGATCCTTGTCTACTGTTTCTATGTCCTTTCCTAGTTATTCCAGATTCTCTCACTACTCTTTTCCAACTTCCCTGTCTCAGGTCCATCTCAAGATGTCATCTGAGGTCCTCCTGCGGCAAGTAGAGGGTCAGTTTTTTTCAGAGGGGATCATATAGTCACTGTGATCCAAACAGGCCTGCTAAAATATATTTACTCCTTTTTCTTTAAACTTTACTGCTTTTGTTTATAAGAAATATAACAAATCATGCTCATTTAAATAAGTCAATTGGTGGGGAACCTCCGTGGCTCCGTCAGTTAAGTGTCAGACCCTTGATTTTGGCTCAGGTCATGATCTCGTGGTTTGTGAGTTTGAGCCCCATGTCCGGCTCTGCGCTGATAGTAGGGAGCCTGTTTGGGATTCTCTTTCTCGCCCTTTCTCTCCCGTGCTCTCTCCCGCTCTCTCTAAAAATAAATAAACGTTAGGAAAAAAGTCAATTGGTGGATAGATTTTAAAAAGGGTTAATAATCTCCCCTAACCTTCTGTATTTAGTCTGTTCCTGACAAATATATTCAGTAATATGCACATATATATTTTGCTTCCATTTTTTGTAAATGCAAATGAGACCTATGAGATCGTATACATTACTCTTCAGCCCAGCCTTTCATTAACCTAGTAATGTATCATTAGTTTCTATTTAGATCAGTACATAGAAATGAAATTCTTTCTTCTGCAAAACCAGCCTGCTATCTATATTATGGATTACCATAATTTAACGTTTGCATTATTGGTGAACATCCACTCTGTTTCCAGATGGTCTGCTATTATAATAATCTTGCATTAAACATTTTTTATATATATCTTCATACTAGTCCTTCTGTTTCCATTGGAGAAAATGGAAAACTAAAACTGGACTTGCTGGATGCCAGCCTATGGCACATTTTACATATCACCAGATACTGAAAGTTTGCTTTCTAAAAAGGTACGGCAATCTTGTGAGCATCCTAGTTTGCCTCCCCTGTAGCCCCACTGCATTTTCTTACATTCTTAGCATCTAAATTACACTGACTTTTTAAACTATCCTTTTAAAAATCATACAATCATAGCCAAAAAGCTTTTGAAAGATGCTCAGCATACTAATCATTAGGGACATGCAAATCAAACCACAGTGAGATAGCTGCTCACTAACAAATTGTTTCCACTTGCTGAGCTGTGAACAGGTCAACCTTACCCCGCTGCCAGCTGTCATTGTTCGTGCTGTTTGGAATAATAGATGTCATTTAGCTTTTAACTAGATGTTTGCCTCTCCAAGCTAAGAAGTGTTTCATGTTTTACTGAATATTTACTTACGTAGACCCGAGAGACAGGGACGCTCCACTCCCGTGAATAAGGGTAGCAAAGTAGGATGGTAAGATTGCAAATGGAACTTTTATATTAGTTTAATAATTTAATTCCAATCACATATCCATCCTGGAGGCCAAGTCTATGGCAGTCTGAATGAAGTAAGCAGTTAGCCAACTATTCACTTTCCTCCTTGCAACTCATTTATCTAAATGGAGGGGGGAAATCTAATACATCTAATAAGATGTATATATCACTGTATATACAGATTAAGATGGCTATCTTTTCTTTCCCCTAGGTCTGTATGCAAAGAAAACATATGTTTGCAGAACAACGTCATAAAGTTTCACAAAGGCAAAGATAAAATGTGCTATCATTTATTTTGTATTATAAAATCTTTGCTTGGATTGTCTTGTGAAATGTCCAAATCAGGAATAATTATAGGTTTTTCTAATACCACCTGCACCGTGAAACATTTAACACTTTTAGATGATGCAAAAGACTGGAAGAGATACTAACCCTTTATCTGATATGTCATTTGCAACTATCTTTTCCCATTCTGTCGGTTGCCTGTTAGTTTCATGGATTGTTTTCTTTGCCATGCAGAAGCTTTTCATCTTGATGATGGAATACATGGCAATGAGAAAGAATGAAATCTGACCATGTGTAGCAACATGGATGGAACTTGAGGGTGTTATGCTGAGCGAAATAAGTCAGGCAGAGTAGGATAGCTACTATATGTTTGCACGTATAGGAGGATTAGGAGGAACTTAACGGAGGATAGTGGGGGAGAAGAAGGGGGGAAATAGTGGGGGAGGGGGAGGGAGGCAAACCATGAGAGACTCTTGAATGCTGAGAACAAACTGATGACTGATGGGTATGGGGGGGAGGGGAAGGGGTTGATGGGCATGTAGGAGGGCACTTGTGGGAATGAGCACTGGGTGTTATATGGAAACCAAGTTGACAATAAACTATTATAAAAAAAAAGACTAGAAAGGAAGAAAACTGTCGATTCAGTGTTGGACAAAACCATTAAAGTGCAATTAGGATGTAAAAAGAAAAGATAAAGGAAACGAAAGCAAGCAAAAACAAAAGCAGAAACTAAACTAAAGAAAAAAGAAAAAGAGAAAGATACTAGGTCATATTTGTTGGGGTGACTCCTATCAAAACCCAGAAAATAATAGGTGAATAGGTGCTGACAAGGATGTAGGCATTATTGGTGGGAACTTAAAATGGTGCAGCTGCTATGGAAAACAGCATGACAGTTACTCAAAACATTAAAAATAGAATATATTCCACTTCTGTGTATATACCTAAAAAATTGAAAGCAGGATCCTTTTGAGAAAATTTAAAGATTATTTTACTTTATTTTCGTTCCAGTGTCGTTAACATGAAATGTTATGTAGAACAGAGTGAACGTTAACATTGTACGTTTTAGTTGTGCAATACAGTGATTCAGTAATGCCATGCATTACTCCTTGCTTATGAAGAGAAGTGTACTCTTAATCCCCTTTACCTGTTTCACCCATCTCCCATCCACCTCCCTCTGGTAACCACCTGTTTGTTCTCTCTCCTTAAGAGTCTGTGTTTTGGTTTCCTTCTCCTTTTCTCCCCTTTGTTGGTTTGTTTTGTTCCTTAATTTCCACATGTGAGCGAAACCATCTGGTATTTGTCTTTCTCTGACTGGCTTCTTTTGCTTAGCATTATAATCTCTAGACCCATGTATGTTGTTGCAAATGGCAAGGTCTCATTCTTTTTTAAGGCTGAATAACATCCATCAAACACTCCCTCCAACCACACACACACACATATACCACATCTTCTTTATCCATTCACCTATAGATGGAACCTGGGATGTTTCCATAATTTGGATTTTGCAAATAACACTACAAGAAACATAGAGGTGCATATATCCCTACAAAGTAGTATTTTTGTACTCTTTGGGTAAATTCCCAGTAATATGATTACTGGATTGTAAAGTGGTTTTATCTTTAGTTTTTTGAGGAACCTTCATGCTGTCTTCCACAGTGGCTACACCAATTTGCATTCCCACCAACTGTACATGAGGCTTCCTTTTCCTCCATATCATCACCAAAATTAGTGGTTTCTTGTGTTTTTGATTTTAGCCAGTCTGACAGGTGTGAGGTGATATCTCATTGTGGTTTTGATTTGCATTTTCCTGTTGATGAATGATGTTGAGTATCTTTTCATCTGTCTGTTGGCCGTCGTTATGTCTTCTTTGGAGAAATAGCAGTTCAGATCCTCTGCCCTTGTTTTTACTTGGAATATTTGTTTTTTTGATCTTGAGTAGTAGAAGTTCTTTATATAGTTTTTATTTTGATAGGGTCCCAATAGTGTATTTTTGTTTTTGTTTCCTTTGCTCCAGGAGACATATGCAGAAATATGTTATAGCCGATGTCAGAGAATTACTGCCTGTGCTCTCTTACAGGATTTTTATGGCTTCAAGTCTCATGTATAGGTCTTTTATCCATTGTGAGTTTATTTTTGTGTATGGTGTAAGGAAGTGCTCTAGTTTCCTTCTTTTGCAAGTTGTCCAGTTTTCCCAGCACCATTTGTCAAACAGACTATCTTTTTCCCATTGAATATTCTTTCCTGCTTTGTTCAAGGTTAATTGACCATACAGTTGTGGTTTATTTCTGGTATTTCTGATCCATTCCATTCATCTATCTCTGTGTCTATTTTTTGTGACAGTGCAATGCTGTTTTGATCACTACAGCATTGTAATATAATTTGAAGTCTGGTATTGTGATGCCTGCAGCTTTGGTTTTTCGTTTTTTTGTCCCCCCCCTCCAAGATTTCTTTGGCTATTTGAGGACATTGGCTATTTGGGTTTTATGTTTCCATACAAATTTTAATATTATTTGTTCTAGTTGTATGAAAAAATACTTTTGGTATTATGATAGAGATTTCATTAAATCAGTAGACTGATTTGGGTAACATGAACATTTTAACAATATTTGTTCTTGCAGTTCACGAGATAGATCTTCCACCTCCTTTGTGAAGTTTACTCCTAGGTATTCTATTCTTTTTGCTGCAATTATAAATGGGTTTGTTTTCTTAATTGCTCTTTCTGGTGCTTGGTGATTAGTGTATAGATAGAAATGCAAGAGATTTCTGTACCTTGATTTTGTATCCTGTGACCTTACCGAATTCATTTATCAGTTCTAGTAGTTTTTTTTGGTGGAGTTGAAAACGGGATCTTGAGGAGATCCTTGCGCTCCCATGTTCCTAACAGCCTTCAGTGACCAAGAAATGGAAGCAAACCAAATGTCCAGCAAAAGAGGTCTGAATAAACAAAATGTGTTAACACACCTACAATGAGATATTACTCCACCTTAAGAAAGAAGGAAATTATGACATATGCTACAACATGGGTGAACCTTGATGACATTATGCTAAGTAAAATAAGCCAGTCATAATATTGTACGACAAATATTGTATGATTCCACTTCTGTAAGGTATCAGAGTGGTCAAATTCATGGAAAAGTAGAACAGTGGTTGCCAGGTAATAGAGAAATGGGGAGTTGTTTAATGAGTATAGAGTTTCAGTTTTGCAAGATTTTTCAAAGAGTTCTGTTAGAAACTGTTTTTAAATAGTTTCAAATAGAGGGAGTCAACCCATAATAGACTCTTCAATGCGGAGAAAAACTGAGGGTTGGGGTGGTGGGGTAGGGGGAAATGGGTGATGGACATTAAGGAGGGCACTTGCTGGGAAGAGCACTGGGTGTTGTATGTATGGGATGAATTATGGGAACCTACCCCCAAAACTAAAAGCACACTGTTTACACTGTATGTTAGATAACTTGACAATAAATTATTTACAAAAAATTTTCTGGATATTGTACCCCAACAATGTAAATATACCGAATGCTATGTATCTGTACACTTCAAAGTGTCTAAGATGGTCGACTTATGTTACACAGTTTTAATTACAATTAAGAAACATTATGAAAAAGAAAAAAGGTTGTGAAAGAATATATAATAGGTCCCCCCCCCCCCAGCTGCCTCCATTTCCTTAAGGAAGGATTTTTTTCTCTCTCCCTCCCCCACACCGTAGCGGCGTGCGAGCGGGCCGGGCGGGCGGCCGAGTTTTCCAAGAAATAACTTCACCAAGATGTCCAGTGATAGGCAAAGGTCCGATGATGAGAGCCCCAGCACCAGCAGTGGTAGTTCAGATGCGGACCAACGAGACCCAGCCGCTCCAGAGCCTGAGGAACAAGAAGAAAGAAAACCTTCTGCCACCCAGCAGAAGAAAAACACCAAACTCTCTAGCAAAACCACTGCTAAGTTATCCACTAGTGCTAAAAGAATTCAGAAGGAGCTAGCTGAAATAACTCTCGATCCTCCTCCTAACTGCAGTGCTGGGCCTAAAGGAGATAACATTTATGAATGGAGATCGACTATACTTGGTCCACCAGGTTCTGTATATGAAGGTGGTGTGTTTTTTCTGGATATCACTTTATCATCTGATTATCCATTTAAGCCACCAAAGGTTACTTTCCGCACGAGAATCTATCACTGCAACATCAACAGTCAGGGAGTCATCTGTCTGGACATCCTTAAAGACAACTGGAGTCCTGCTTTGACTATTTCAAAGGTTTTGCTGTCGATTTGTTCTCTTTTGACAGATTGCAATCCTGCGGATCCTCTGGTTGGAAGCATAGCCACTCAGTATTTGACCAACAGAGCAGAACATGACAGGATAGCCAGACAGTGGACCAAGAGATACGCCACATAATTCACATAATTTGTGTGCAGTGTGAAGGGGCAGAGGGCCTCTTCTCACTGTGCTGCAGATCTTTATAGCCTTTACAATACGGACTTCTGTGTATATGTTATACTGATTCTACTCTCTGCTTTTATCCTTTGGAGACTGGGAGACTCCCCAAAAAGGTAAATGCTATCAAGAGTAGAACTTTGTAGCTGTAGATTAGTTATGTTTAAAACGCCTACTTGCAAGTCTTGCTTCTTTGGGATATCAAAATGTATTTTGTGATGTACTAAGGATACTGGTCCTGAAGTCTACCAAATATTATAGTGCATTTTAGCCTAATTCATTATCTGTATGAAGTTATAAAAGTAGCCGTAGATGACTAGGAATTATGTCATTTGTATTAAACCCAGATCTATTTCTGAGTATGTGGTTCATGCTGTTGTGAAAAATGTTTTACCTTTTACCTTTGTCAGTTTGTAATGAGAGGATTTCCTTTTACCCTTTGTAGCTCAGAGAGCACCTGATGTATCATCTCAAACACAATAAACATGCTCCTGAAGGCATAGTTTCCTGTCGTAATATTTTAAGTCAATCTTGTTAGAAGGTGTCTCTGAGATGATTGTTGACGAGATAAAAATGCGGATATGAAGATTGACTACTAAGGACCAGTACAAATAAATGAATTGTTAAGTTGAAAACATTTGAAATCTTGTTAAATGTGTAGAGTTTTTTTTTCCCTTGAAGTACTGATGAGAAAATATAATGAACTTAAATATGCAAAACTGAGTTTTAAACCATTGATTTCAAAACACATAAAGCTCTACTTTGATAAGACGGTATTTGAGCGAAAGATAATATAAAATCGCGCCTCACTCAGGAATCT